TAACACTACTTCAAGCAAATATTTATCAAATTTAACTACCCCCGGTAGGTATGATTTTACAGGTGTAATTGAAATATAGGCAGTACTTATGACCAATTCTAATCAGATGCAGCAAGGTTATCACTGAATCACACTTCTTTCGATTACACAGGTCAGGTTGTCAAGATGACCGTTCTCACAAGTTCCAATGTATATTATGGGATACATTTAGAAAATGAACTTGTGTACCAAAAACGTATATTACTAAAATTTAAAGAGGTACTGTGCTGAATAGAGACTTAGAGCTGATAAGCAGAAACAATGAATTACAAAGACAGACATTGGTAGATGTGTTAGTGAAGTAATGCAAGGTTAGAATAATACAAGCACAAGATGGAATTCACATCACTTAGGATATTTAGATGCCTCTCAATTTTACTTTTGTTAGCAAAGTGCGATTATCCGATAAAGGCAAACAATTGCATCAAGTATTGTGTCGACTTGAAACGAGTAATCTGCTTGACAGAGAAAGCTTAGTAGAGATGTAGCAATAATACCATAATCAATTCTAGACATAATTCACAAAACTATAGCCAAGTTCAACGGGAATTACTGAATGTAAAAATATCTGCCATCACAGTCCATTCAAATTTGCGATAAATTTTTTTTATAAGCGACATTTGCACAGTATATGTAATCTTAACATAAAATTGAAATCACCTTCAACAACGCCCTAAAACAAAGATTACATCAACTGTGCATATGTTTTGAATTACAATAACGTCCCTAAATGTTACATGGACCTAAACATGGCGAGACAATAGTGAATTCCATACTTGTAACCCCAGAGTTGAACAGTATAAGTGATGAAATGATGGTTTACTATTTAATGAGATGTGTCATTTAATAGTTACAAGGTTCACCTTGGCTATGGTCCACCACAGTTCAATCACAAAACCATTCATGCAATATTAACGCTGTGTTCATATGTATCCATTACATTGTTATTGATTAGGTGCATTCAGCAAACAATACCCAACTTCCGATCGGTTAAAATTTGTACTTTAGTAAACACTTCCTGTAACCCATGCATAATTGAAAAACCTTGCATTAACCATACTGTATGATTTCTACTGTCAGTTTTCATCGAGGTTTTAACATAGAAGTTAGATCCTATCAACTTTTGAAGTATTAATTTTTACCAGGCCGATAGTTTGAAGTCGAACCATTTTTTTTGGTTTCAATTTTCTTTGCTCGAAATTCAAATTCATTTCAACACTCTGCAATTAAGGATGCAAACTTTATGACAGTGTTTCAAACTAAGATATACAGTTAATTTTTAATTTGAGAAATTTTACAAAATTATGACCAACTCTATCGCAGTATATTTCACCTCATTGAGAGCTATTTTTCAGGAATTTACTAGCTAACAAAATGTAGCTCGTCGATAAAAGTTTATGGGGATGAATTGTCAGAATGCTGTACAAATTACAGTAATTGCCGAATATGTCAGGCTTGTAGGCTTACTTTCTCAGCGATTCAAATATTGTTGACCGAAACATTAAGACAAATCATTAAATCTTTCTACAATGCCAATTAAGTTTTTTTTTGTACCAAGTATGCAGTATATGGCAACTTTTATACAATTGATTTGGAGAAGAAATCCAAAATAAATGGAGAAAATTATGCTTCCACAATGGACCCCTCTCAGTCAGGAAGTACAAACCACAAACGTTTATGGGTAATAACATGAAACACAAGTTTGAAATAAATGTTCAACGTTGCTTTCAATAAATTAATAGTTTCTCTTTAAATTTCAGATAGATCTCAATTGTGTTAGTTTATTAATATAATGTGTATATTATTTTTTTTCAAGCCGTGATGGACCATGAACCAGAGAAAGTAGAAAAAACTTTTTGTCAGGCAGTCATGGGCCTTGTGAAAATGGAGACATACATTTACATGTAGCAAATACCATCACGTTACCCTTTTTATCCTTCGAAACGTCTTGCTTTGCATTCTTCGCTTTTCTATTTCTCAAAACAAAAATAACTACAACTATCACACCTATTATGAGAACAAGAAGTAGTGCCACCACAATTCCAGTTACACATCCAGATGTGCATCCACCTCCAGTATTTGCGCCAGACATGGGTTCTTTTCCTACGAGAATGACAGACAACATGGCATTAGAACAAGTTAGGAAATGCAGCAAAACCTGATAAACTAGTTTACTCTCAGCACATGCAATATTAACACTCTTAGAAAAATATTTGTCAAGTTGTATACACTTTACTTTGTATAAAATTGTGACAATAGAGTAATCAGAATTAGATTCCTAAACAAGCAGCCTCTTGGCGGAGATAGCTCCGCTGTTAGCAATGAACATTACAATTAAAGAACTGAAGATATCATTAGAAAATGAACAATATGCATAGTATCAATGCAATGGGACTTGCTGTTTTCAACAAGAATTCAAAAATATAATTTTTAACCATAAATGATTGTGGTTTTTAACATGAAGAAAATATCACTTTTTACCAAAAATATTCACCAAAATTAGAGAATTGAACATATCACGAAATGAACAAATCTGAAAGGTCCACATGTAGTACCTATATATCTAATATCAAAGCAATCAGACTTGCTGTTTTTAACAAGAAGTCGAAAATATCACTTTTTACCAAAAATGACAAAAATATTAACCAAAATTAGAGAATTGAAGATATCAACATGAAATGAACAAACTAGGAGAGGTCTACCCAAGGTACATATACACCAAGTATCAAAGCATTCAGGCTTGTAGTTTTCAAGAAGAAGTCGAAAAAGTAAAACATTGACACGGACGACGGACAATCACTCATATGATAAGCTCCGCTCGACAAAAAAATTTGAACATTATCAATTTGAGAAAGTCTTAAGGGTCTGCTGCACAGAAGTTAGTCTTAAAATTTACATACATACAATTTACAAAAAATTATCGAGTCTCTCAATAATCTGGCTCCTCGCAATTTAAATAGTTTGAAAGTCAATAAAAATAAATAGAAATAAACATTCCAAGACAAAATAATTTCACAAGTAGCTGCCAAAATCTGTTTTCCAATTGATCCGGAATTTGAAACTGAAAATTTGAATAGTTTGAATATAGCTTCCAATAGATGCCAAAATAATGCAACCCTGGAATGAGATTGAACTGCTATACTAAGTACAAGGCTGAGAATAAACTATTGTTATCAGAACACAGCATGTTGGTAGTCTGAAGGTAAGTACACCACACTAAGTGTTTGATATGTACATAGAGTGATCAGAAAATACCTCAGACAACCAAATTATGTTGTAATGAAAGGTACCTTACACTATAGAACTTGCGTAAACATGAAAGTTATAGAAATCAATGTCAAAGAAATTGAAACCAAGTCTGCACTGTGCAAGTGATTGTGGATGACTGAAAATATAATTTAGATTATACTACAGGTTACAGGTCGATTTGTAGGTATTAATGTGAATTTCCTACAACTTGACAGTACTCCATGATGCATCTTGTGTGAATGCTATTCCTATTCTTAAGCAGTAAACTCCCCCTCCAATATTCACACCTTATGCATCATGGGAGTACTGAAATGTACAAAGTCCTTTATCGTCATCTTTCACACAATTAACCTGAATTATATTTTCCAGAAATGTTGGTTAAGATGTGACGCCAATGGTAAAACATCTTTATTCAGGCCTAATTTAAGAAAATTAAAGAAAAATGTATAAACTGTTGCAATAGAAAGAAGGCCCCCTCCATTTTTCAGTTTCATTTTTAATTTATAGTATTTCCAAACTAAAGTATGAAAGACCATTAGAAACTGAAAAAAAAATTTCTTTGCTTTAATACATTTATTACATATTTATAATTTGGACAACCTGTATAAAGAACATTTTAACTAATTGTAGAACTGCTATAACCCATTCATGTTTACGTAAATTCTGCCAACACGCATGATATGATTCAATTATTAAGTACAGTTCAATGGCAGATAATACAGTCATTTGAAAGCTAGAACTGTACAGCAGCAGCAGCATCTCCATGCAAATCTTGCCAGATAAGCGAGCCACCAATTTAGTGCTTCATAGTCAGGATAAGTGTTATAGGAGAAAAACTTCCCCTCTTGTTGAAACGGGAAACAATCACATGGTTGTGGCTTTAAGAAATTATTTCTATATAGCTAGGCCAGTATGATAATTCAACATTGCTTGAGATTGTGTTATAAAAGATTTGCATGATATTGGTGTGTGTTTAGTTACCAACGACAGCTGGGTTATGAAGTGTACTGTTTACGTGTTATGAAATTGTAATAAAAAAAAAAGCAAAAATTAGCAATCAAGATTAGAGAAATTTAAAATATTGAGAAGGCCGTAGAAACTGAACACAGAATAAATGTGCAGATATATGGACTAAAGTAGTATTATGAAAAATGAATTCGTTTGCATAAAAAAATGTATCTGCTTCCAGGAATGCAGGATTCTGTTCTCCATGATATTAAAAAGTAGAATTAGTATTCAATTTAGAAATTGACTTCATATATATCAAAATTAGGAAAAATTGGGGATGAGGATCGATTTAAAACAAGAACCAAGAAATGAAATATAACTGGAAAGGGCTGTTATTATGAAGGAATTGTGTAATAAAGTCGGAAAGAAAGAGGATTAGATTGGAAAGAAAGATTTAAGTTGTTAGAATAGATGTAAAGACTAGAAAAGGAAAGATGTAGAAAGAAGTGAGCACGCTATCAAGAGTTAGAAAATATTGTTTAGTGTACAGCACTCCGGTTCATTACCAGCTTCATTTGTAGAAGACAAGTGGGTTATTTTGTGGCGAGGACGGACAGGAGGGAACTAACAAGGGTGTGCCACATGTATGTTCAGATGTATTGGTTTGATATAGGTGGTTTTGAAAACAAAATAACAGCGATAGACAATGAAGTGATACAGTGAATGAAATGATTGCAAATACATACAAAGTGCAAGGATAAATTAAAACAGTAAGCTTTGTCACTTAATTTATAATTAACAACTGCAACAAATGCAATCATCACCACCTGGTGTTAAGTTGGCTGAATGCAGTAGACTGAAATTCAAAGTTACTAGGTAATTGCTACTAAAACTTGTCAAGCCAAATCACTGGTGACAAGTCTTGATTTCGCACATCGTCAGCGAGTTCTCATCACAGACTAATTATTGGCACTTGCATAATGTACATGCACTTCAATTTAAT